AATAATAATAATAATAATTTGTGGTGTTACAAAAATGCCCTTTGACCAACACAAATTGCTCAATCTCAATTTCCCAAAATTCAAACTAATCTAGAAGAAGAATAAATACATTTGTGTGTGTGTGTGTTTGAGTGTCTTTTTTATCATTAATAGGTTCAAGCCCCCATCTCTCTTTTATCTTGTTACTTTTGAGATTTGGAAATGTCAATGAATTTATTGAGGATCTTTATGTAAATTAAAATGACTCAGAGATATATATTTTACCAAATACACTTAAAAAATATTTAACATTTCTAAATGAACATGCTTTAGTTAAATAGTTATTTTATTTATTTTTAAAGTTAAAGAATTAATTTTAAACTCTTGTTATTTATATTGAAAAATATATTTATGAGATATTTTTATTTAAATAAAAAATTTAAAAGGCCTACTTAAAAAAAAAGAATCTTTACCTATTTGAGTATAAAAGATGATTTTATATTATACTCCGTCTAGCGTTATGTTTGATTGAGATTTTTATATTTTAAAAATACTTTTTACAATAAAAAAAAAATAAAATATAAAGTGTTTTTAGTAGTAGATATATTCAAAATTTAATAGATTTAAAATTAAAAATTATAATATATGACTTTTTAAAAATAAATTTGACTTTTACTGAAAATTTATATTTAAAAATTTAAAAGTTAATTTTACTAAACACAAAATTTTTATTTTTTTAAAGTAGTATTTCTTTCTACACGTATTTTTATTAAATATTAAATAAATTCTGATTAAAAATATTTTTAATTAATAACTATTTTAATAACACTTTGCCTAAATGCCTACTTAGTAAAATTATCGATTGTTATTAGTTAGATTTTTTTTATATATAAAAAAAGTAAATGAATTAATAATAATAATAACAGTAAAATTTTAAATATTTATCTAACATTCCGGTCCAAAATGACACATTTCTTTAATAAATACACAAACAATTTGTTGTGCCCCATGATGCAGCCCTATTACATATTATTTTTCTATATTTACTATTAATTAGTACAAAAATATTACAAGTGACTATTGAATTATTGATTAAATTAATTATTTTAAAATTTTAAATTGATAAAAAAATACTAATCAATTTTTTTTTTAATTCTAGCACGTCCATCATACATTGCGTAAAGTTTAATAAAAATATATAACTATATTATCGCATTAAATAATTAATTAAACTTATTCTGACATTTTAAAACGACGATCTCTTAAAATTTAACAATAACAGTGTCATACTTGCAGTTCAAGAAAATAATTATTATATTATAGGCTTCAATTCACATATTATATATTATTGCCTATTCTTAAACTTCATTTAATTTAATCATCTATATTTTCATAATTACTAATAAAGACGTATTAAAAATACAATATACAAGAGCTCATTTTGTTGGGTGAACAAAAATAATTTTTTTTCTCAAACCTTATTTGATGGTGATTAATAAGGAGTCGTAACTCCAAAATTCAGGTGTTTCGAGTGACTTTCATTGTGTGCGAAAATTCAGGAATTCGACGAATGTCGCTGGTAGATATATTGAGATTGTATGTTCTAATGTAGATGAGAGTGTCGATTGAGGATACTAGTTAGCAATTAGCTTGTTTAAACTTGTTAATTATTCTGGTGTCTACATAATTCAAGACTTGGAAAATATAATTTTGAGTCCGGACGCTTTTCCATTTTGGTTTCAAGCAGATGTTTAACAAGTTGGGTGACGTCATCCCTGTGATGTAGTACTGTAGCACGTGAAAGATTCAATGGTGGCTCTGGACAATCTTTTGTTTCTTTTTAAATGTTAAACTCCACTTGCCGTCACATAAAATCCCTTTCCTTCATTGGCCACCACTTTTTGTCTTTGCTCGCCCTCAAATTTTTAACATTATCGTGATTATTTTTAATTAAATAAATTAATTGTTAAAATTATTTATTTAGTTAAAAAATATAATAAATTGGTTGAAATTTGTTGATGCAATTTAAATTCCGAAAAGATCATATTTAATTATGAAAATATTTCTGTAATTCTAACAAGATTTAATCTTACTTTGATTACTATAATTTTTTATCGTTGCCTGTAATATATCTAAAATGTAGAATAATGTGTATGTAGAGATTGAATTTTAATTTAATATTATATTTATATGCATATATATAAAGTAACCCAATTAATTAAAAGATTGGTGGTCAAAGTTCAAAACTAACAAAATCTAATGATCTTTGAGAATTTATAATATTATATATATATATATATATATATATATATATATATACACATATATGATTTAGACATGGCCCTTATCGTCACCTCCTGGGTCCAACTAAGAAGTCCATCTTTTTGACATGCTGCTCTCAGCACTTCAGAGAGCATATGTGACTGTATATCCATATCTTTATATATTGACTGATTCTTGTTTAATGACAATTACTGATAAAATCAATTCTGACTCTTTTGGAATGAATCAAGAATCATGCAAATCATTTTCTATTTGTCTGAAAATGTCACTATCTAATTGAGATTAAGAACAATGAAGATATTTTCTGGAATACTGATTAACTACGAGGATTTATATATTGTAGTTTATAATGAGTAATTATCTTATCCATTTCTCTTAGTTTTGATTCAAAACAAACTAAACCCGATATGACTTGGTAAGGAATAATAAAAGAAAAATAAAATGAAACAAAGATGATAACAAGAGAAGGATTAAGGTGATTGATAAGGAGGACGATGTTATTGATTAATGAGATCATAAGTTGCTGATGAAGAAAGCTGAGATTTGGCATAAACTGCTTGCCAAACATTAATTGTTCACATGCTAGCTATATATATATATATATATATATATATATATATATAGTCACACACACATATTATGTATACACGTACATTATATCTAGGTAATGATAACCTGCATTCGTCTCCCAGCGACATGAGCAGTGTTTGGAAATCTGTTCAAAGTGGGTTGATCTTTTGAGATTTGTAGGTGTTGATGAGGTTTTTACCTCCAGGTTTCATGGCGGCACTGCCGGAGATCATCACCTTTTCAAAACTAGTGTTGTCACCTTCTTCTTCTTCGTTTTGTTCTCGATCAATTTTAGTGAGATTGATGTTGGAGGTCTGATCGCCAGTTCCTGCAACTTTGGAAGTGACGGTGGAGACAGCAGTCTCAACCATGTCCGCCAAGTTCTCGAATATCTTTTTCTTTATCTGACCTCTCTTTGGCGGGAACCAGTTGTAGGATGTCTCATTTTTCATCTTCTTCACTGCAGCCTTCTCTTTGATCTTCTCCATTAGCGATGCTTTCTGCTCACAACGACAAAATTCAAGAAATGGTCTTCTGATGTCGGAAGAAGAAGAAGAAGAAGAAGTGGGTACTGAAGAAAAGAGCCGAAGTAGGGAAGGCTATTTATAAAGAAAATCTCATGAATTTTTCCAACAGTGTGAACGTAGAAAAGTAGAATGTCCTTTCTTAGTCTGTGGGGCTCTGTCGTCTCCATCATTTTTAGTAATGTTAAATTAGCAAATTATTCTTGTCTATTTGTTACTTACTGAATTTTGTTAATATTAAATTAATTAATTACTTTTAATTTAGATCTTCCACTTTATGCATCCCTTTTGCCATCCATGTTTCGCTCTACTGCCCATATTCGTAGTCTCTTAGTTTTGTTTGGATTCTGGGACAAATTTATCAGTTTCGATTTCCAGAACTCTCCCATTTAATCTATCAATATATAGGTCTTACTATCTCCTTAAAAAGAACATGCCAATGTACATACATATATATATATGTGTGTGTGTACACGTGTGTGTACGTCTGAAACCTATTCAAAATTACCAGCTCCCAGTTTTAGTATCTATCGTTTATGTGTTGAATTTTTTGTCCAGAAAGTGTTTGATGACGGTAACCGGATTCCAATATTAAATTATAAAATTTTGCAAAAAAGTTGGTTTGAAAAGGACGCTTTTCATGCAATCAATTTTGGTTCCAGATGCATGTGTGTCAATACATATATATATATATATATCTCTTATGCATATACATGTGCTAGTCATGCATTTTGTCGGATATCATGCAGTATATAAAAGACTTCACTGAGATTTAAGGATTACCCACCCTGTAACCAACTCACAATATATATACATAACTATATATTCTAAATTACCTATTATAAATATATATGTCATTTTCATTAAATTAAAAAAATATATAAAAGTCATTAAAAAAAAAAACCCTTAACTCTTCAAACTCCCAAAACATCTCCGCCCAATCATTCTTCTACGCCATGGATCTTCCTCTTCACTTTGCCGTCTATATATAATTAAAACATGAAAAACCTTATTATAACTCGTAGGAACCAATTTTGAACCACTCTTTATTACAAAATAGCAAATATACATTTTTCTTATTATTTTCAAAGTATAAATTGTTTGTGTTTAAGTTTTATTTTTAATTTTTACTTCTAAATAGGTAGAACTTCTAATATCATAAAACATATAAATTATTCAAAAAAAATAAACAAAAAATATAATATTAACATACTTTTATTTAATTTAAACAACATATGTTTGATAAAATAATATATATAAATTAAAAATTTTACAAAATAAGTAAGTTGACGCAACAACAAAACATTTATAATCTTTAATAGAAAGATTATCAAAACAAACATAAAAAAAAAGTATAAAATTTTTTTATATAGATTTAAATCAATGACTTTATGCCGCAAAGTATAAAAAGTAGTGTAATCTTGTAACAAAAAATCATGTTATAACAATTATTTATTATATAACAAAAAGATTATGTTATAAATATATTTTTAACATTTGACCGGGCTTTAAAGGCCGATCATGGATTTAACTTGAAAACGGGCTTAAAGTGGGCCTTCCCTCTCCCCCAAATTTCAAACCAATATCCCAAGCCCAAAGCCGTGACCCGGAATTCATGCACGATTCGGTTCCGAGATGCTCTTTTCAGACTCGGTTCTCCACTTCTCTCATCCCCCTCTCTCTCTCTCTCTCTCTCTCTCTCTCTCTCGTTCGTTCGTATGTACCCACTGCGTTGCAGGCGAGCAAGTCATCTTCAGTTCGCTTTTCCGCGTAGACTCTGGCGTAATCCGTAACCAGGTAATCCTAACTATCCGTCCTCCTCTCTCTCTCTCTCTCTATATATATATACACACTCACATGTTGCGAATTTTTACCTGCTTACTTTTTGCAATACCAAGGAAATATTATTAACTACATGATTAGGTTTGTTGTTTTAATGTTATAGTTTTTTGAAGAAATTATAGCTGTGTGGTTTTTATTTGGTTAAATTATTTGAATCCAATCGGGAGTCACTTGGCATTTGACTCAGGTTTATGTAGATAATTTGGTTGAAATAAATTTCGATTATGAGTTACAGTGTTTTGCTGCTGATTTACTTGTGGTGTGTTTAATTCGAACTATCTTAATTTGATTTTTACTCCAGTTTTATAAATAAAGTTTCTTTAATAATTTTAAGCTATAATTCCAATTTGGTTTAGCTTAGTTATCACTGCTCGATGTCTCTTGTTTCTCGTGCATTATCATTTTTATGAGTTCAGATCCTTTTTGTTTATCAGTCTTGTATTATACTGTGTAAAAATTTAGCTAGTTAGGGCGCAGGTGATGCTTTAAAAATTTAGAAGGAGCATTAAGGGATACAATAATAGAGGAAATCTTTCTTCTGTTTCTGATTTGATTGCTATTTTTCGCAGTGGAATTATAAACTAATGGGGTGGATCTCAATACTTTTTCTAGTAATTATTTTATTGGTTATACATAGGTTAATGTTTTATTATACATAGGTTAATGTTTTACTTTTTTTGAGAGGAAGAGATTAGAATGTCATAAACAAGGTACAAGGCGGTATCACTCATATAGAGAAGCCATTTACAAGGTCTTGAACTCATGATTTCCACGTCTAACAAAATGAGAGCAAATTTTCGATAAAATTCTTCTATTTCCTTCTTTCTTTCCATATGGCCCAGAAATAGCCAATGAAATAAGGTGGAGAGGCTTCTTCTTAGCTTTATGAATTATGGCCATGACTGATCTACAACCATACCAGAAACAACTCTACTAAGTTGAGGAGGTTGAAAGATGCATTGCACAACTTCATTGCCTCTATAAGACCAAAGGAGAAGATAGTTGGGGATTCATTATTTACAAACGCATAGGGTAGCCATTAACTAGGATTCTCCCCCTCTTCCCACACAGGAAATCCATTTTTGGCGTATCCACCATGCAGTTGCACCCAGCCAGGAGGGTGAACAAGGCTAACAAATTAACAAGAGTTATAACATTGCCTTGTATACAGGGTCATCGGGCATTTTGACAAGTTTGAAGATTAACTTTGTTGTTCTTTTGATTTTAATTTAATGTGCAATGGTAATGGCTGCAATATTTATAGTTTTTTAGCTTTGGATTAATTTTTGACGTTAGAAGGGTATATATGGTTCTTTTATTACAATGGTTCCACAAATTGATTCAAGAATGCTTTATATTGCCCACATTGCCTTTCATTCTTTGGTTCTTGTTTTTGCTAATAAAATCTTTGATCCGTCCTGGGCAGTCTTATAACGGAGAATACAACTGGAAGATGGATCAGCAGGAGGAGGAATGCCATCTTGGAAGTGGACTTAGTGGCAAGCAAGATGCTGAGGTGAATTTAATGTATCTATCAATATGAGCGTTTATACGAGTTGGCCCTAGAACTGACTCATTAATATGCTTTAAGAATTCAGCAGTAATTCTTTACTACAAAGAGTTCCTATTGGTAAAAAAGAGTTGTTATGACTTCTGGTTTGTTGTTATATTGTTCCCAATTAGTATCTACTATAAAACAAGTCTGTGCTCATTTTTGGAATGGCCCTAATTCTTTCGTTAATAAATCATTGAATAGTTCTCTTTAAATTCTGATCTGCAGGAAGCTGTTGCTCGTCTGGAGGAAATTAAGAAGTCAATTGAGGCAAAGATGGCTCTTCGTCAAAGCAATTTGAATCCTGAAAGGCCTGGTTAGTTAAACTAGTTAATACATGAGTTTACCCCCCTCTTTTTAAAAATGTAACTGAACAATGATTGACTAGTTGTTGAAATAAGAAACCTTTAATGGTACTTGTACATATCCCAATTGGAATAGAAAAACGCTTCATAGGGGATACAGTGAGAGGGACTTTAGTTATGAGGAATGTCGAGAAGATGTTTTGATGGTAAGAAAGATGAACTTTTCTGGTGGTTTGATTGCTGTAGTAATTTCATTGGAGGCGTAGTTCAGATTTGACAAAGAAATTGTCCCTGATGAAGGGACAAGCATTTGGCTATCCAAAGACTATATTCCTTTCTAAGAACCTTTTTTTTTTGGGTGAAAGTATGTCTATTTGACTGTGGGTCTTAAAGTAGTTATCCTGAATCCCATCGAAAGGGGTGATTTCTCCTCCAAATGCTCTTCAGTTTCTCTGTTTGTTTTAATCAAACATTGTCATCAATTGACCCAGCCACTAACCATTTCATTCTCATTATTGCTAGGACTTCTTCCCACCGGTTCCTTGTCCATGTGGACCACAATTGACTTGGGAATGTCTTATTTTTTATTTGAAAAAAAAACAATTGACAATGAATGTGTTTAGCTATTTCTGCTTATAAGAAAGCATTGATTCAACCAGTTGATAGTATTTATAGTATTTATAGCTATGTCTTAATTGGTTCTACCTTGTTATGCCATGTTGAACGGACATATAGTTTCAAATAATTTTCTGAAGGACTGTATCTTTCAATACTTTGACGCTAATCACTGCTTCATTTTTATTTGTGTTTTACTCTTGGTTCCAGACTCAGGCTTCCTTAGGACATTGGATTCTAGCATCAAGCGGAACACAGCAGTAATTAAGAAATTAAAGCAGATAAATGAAGAACAGCGAGAAGTGCTGATGGATGAGCTGCGAAATGTCAACCTTAGCAAATTTGTTAGTGAGGCTGTGACGGCTATTTGTGATGCGAAGCTTAAAAGTTCAGACATTCAAGCAGCAGTTCAGGTTGGCTTTGTTGGATATTCATTCAGCTTTTTGTCTGTTTAATGGGGCTTAGACATCCATCTTATTTATATGTTTTCTTTATTTATAAGTTTCTTAAAAAACCTTATTTTTTAGTTTACCTCGCCCACTTAAATTGGCTTATTAGGTTTTAAAATACTTAATGGAATTTTACATTTTTTTTAAAAAAAAAACTTCATGGAATTTACATTCTTCTTTGTTAGGTTTAAATTAAATTTGATATAACTTTTTCTGTTTGATGTAGACTGCTAAAATAGAAAAGAAACCAAAACTAGATTGTGTTTATTTGAGGAATCAAAACAAGGTGTTAGTAAGGCAATATGTTGTAAATTAAGAATTCAAATTCTTTTGAAAAAGACCTTTCTTGAGGATATATACACCAGAAGGCTTTGAATACTATTGATTTTGGAAGGAAGTTATCCGTGTAGTTTTCTGGTCAATCTAATAACTTAACCGTGTTTAGTTTTCAGTCTATGAGAGTCTTGTTTTACTTTTTTTTTTTGTGTGGTTGTTGTCAGTCTCCTTTGTTGATCTATATTTGAGAAGTCTGTCAGCATTCAGCTAGTTTAATAGTTTGGAAGCCATTGATTGATTAATACTCATGAAGTGCACCTGTGTTTTGTTGATCAGCAAACAGAAGGAATTCAATGTGGTTTGTTTGTTTTAGCATGCATATTAACGGGATGCAGGCTTTATGTTAGATACTATTATACGGTGCATTTACTAGATAATATCAAAGCATACTGGATAATGTTTATTGAGGAAGTTACATGTTTTCTTTGTGCTGTATCTGATACTTGTTTATTTTCCAAAGATCTGCTCTTTACTTCACCAAAGGTACAAAGACTTCTCGCCAAGTCTGGTGCAAGGACTCTTAAAAGTTTTCTTTCCTGGAAAATCTGGAGATGATTTGGATGCAGACAGGAATTTGAAGGCCATGAAAAAGCGAAGTACTCTGAGACTCCTTGTGGAGCTTTACTTTGTTGGAGTGATAGAAGATAGTGGCATCTTCACCAATATTATTAAGGACCTTACTAGTGTTGAACACTTGAAGGACCGAGATACTACTCAGACAAATTTGACTCTCCTGGCTAGTTTTGCTAAACAAGGAAGAGTTTTCCTAGGGCTTCCCCTCTCTGGCCAAGATGAAGAGGTCTGGCATTCTTTTTGGTCTTTTAAGCCAGTATTTCTTTTTTGTTTTAACATGCTTTCTTTATTGTTTGGTGAACTTTTGCAATTTATATGTGCCTTCTTATGGTTAGAAGTGTTACATATTGTGTTTGTAAGTATCAGTCACTTCTTTGACCTATATTTTGATGAGAATTATAATGCCCTTGCATTTCCATGTTGTCCTCAGCTAGTTCATCTTTATTGCTGATCTTATTATAGATTGTCTTCTCTGATTATATTTTGTCTCAGTATTCTAAGGGCCTAAACATCACAACAGATCAGAAGAAAATTTTCAGGAAGGCTTTTCATGCATATTCTGATGCTGTTGCGGAACTTCTTCAGTCTGAACATTCTGTGAGACTTTTACTGCTTTCATTGCAGCTGATACCCTTTCCTTCCAATCTTATATGTTTCCTATCTTTGAAGTCTCCCAGTTACAAATTTTTTTAGTTTTCTAATTCTTTTTCTTGTCTATACATATTTTTACAAGAAAGTTTATTTCCTCATATAATTTTGCTAATTGCTGACTTGTAAATTTCCAACAGTTACTGCGGCAAATGGAGCATGAGAATGCAAAGATTATAAATGCTAAAGGGGAGCTTAATGAGGAAAATGCCTCTTCATATGAGAAGCTCCGAAAATCTTATGACCATTTGTATCGCAATATCTCATCGTAAGTTTCTTTATGATTTCAATTTCATGGTTGTTCTGGTGCTGGTTGCACATAGTTGAATAGGGACATATCAATATATCTAATATTCATGGATTCTTATGTTTACATCTCATGTCTGAAAAGAGTAGTACATTAGCCGTTCTGCTTGATTAGTACTATCTTCTTTTCGTAGCTAAATTATGACAGGGTAACTCCCCAACCCCCCACCCAAAAAAAAAAAACTTTCCATGTGGTCAGCAAATGATTGAACATTGGTATTTGGTGGAGTTAAATTTAGTAGTCTGTTTAATTATTCACACATTTTTCATGTACATTGAAAACATTTGTCAAGCACAGTGGTTGGAAACTAATCCACTTTTTGCACATTGAGTTAATCTACATATCTTGTAAACTCTTAACAGGTTGGCTGAAGCACTTGATATGCAGCCTCCGGTGATGCCTGAGGATGGTCACACAACTAGGGTTACTACTGGAGAGGATGCTTCATCTCCTGCTGCTGGAAAAGATTCTTCTCTTGTTGAAGCGATTTGGGATGATGAAGATACCAGGACTTTCTATGAATGCTTACCAGATCTTAGGTTCGTTTTAACATAGTACAGATAAATAAGGAATGAGTAATGACAAGAAAATTTTATCCCAAAAAAGGACAAGGATCTGCTGCCAGATTATGCTCGGTTTAATTTTGATTGAATTTGCTAACCAGGGTGTGGTTCCTTCACAAGATTTCTATTTTGTGAAGAATACTTTGGACAATCTGGATTTTCTAAGAGATTTTATGATATATTTATTTTATTTTCATTTTCTTTATAATGAATGCTATTAAGGTACAATCTATATGATCCTGTAGGGCATTTGTTCCTGCTGTATTATTAGGGGAAGCAGAGCCTAAAACAACTGAACAATCTGGAAAGATGCAAGAGAAACCTACTGTAAGTAAGCTAAAATCTGGATGTTCCTAGTATCGTGTAGTTCCTGACTTCGCTTTTGCTGTGTTTGAAGTCAGTATCATTTTTCCTCAGAGATCTCTAATTGGAGATATCCCTTAAAGTGGTCTTGACTATATGTATTCCGTGCCCAACATTTCTCTTTGCTCAGTGATTGTTTTTATTGTGTATAGATTTTTTTTTTACCATAATGAGTTTTTTTTTTTCCTGAACTCTCTATACATCTAGGCACTTAATGGTTATTGTTCGTCTTTTTGTATGTTAAGGAATCTGCTTCTGAATCATTTCAAAGTCAACTGCCTGCACAAGATACTATAGATACTTCTCTAGATTCAGGAAGTTTGGCAGAGGGGAAAAGCATTGAGAAAGCAAAAGACAAGGAAGAAAAAGTTAAGGAGCCTGAGAAGGAGAAGGGCAAGGAAAGGGATACAGACAAGAAAGGAGAAAATGGGAAGGAGAAACTTAAAAATCTTGAAGGGGCAAATTTGGATGCTCTATTGCAGAGACTTCCTGGCTGCGTTAGTCGTGACCTTATTGATCAACTAACTGTAATAATGACTTTGTTCCTCCAGTGTGGCATTATTTTTTGCTTGCTCTTTCAGCTTCTGTTTCTTGATGTATATACATCAGGATTGTGTTCTTAATTATCTATTCTTTTTGAAATTCTATTTTTAGGTGGAGTTTTGTTATTTAAATTCTAAGTCAAATCGGAAAAGGCTTGTGAGGGCATTGTTTAATGTCCCTAGGACATCTCTGGAGCTATTGCCATACTATTCACGCTTGGTTGCCACACTCTCAACTTGTATGAAGGATATCTCTACCATGCTGTTGCAGATGTTGGAAGAGGAGTTTAGCTCCTTAGTAAATAAGAAGGTTAGTTTCAAAGCATATGTTGCCTGATTTTGAGTGGTTAGTATCTTCTTATTGTTCTTGTTCTAGGTAAAATCTTTTTAGTCCTATCAAGTATACATGATTTGAGTCTAAAGTTAAATATGCCACAGGATCAAATGAATATTGAAACAAAGATCCGGAATATTAGGTTTATTGGAGAACTCTGCAAGTTCAAAATAGCCCCAGCTGGTCTTGTTTTCAGTTGTTTAAAGGTATGTTCCATACAAATAATCAGCACTTAGACTATTCTGACTTCCTAAGTTGCTTGGTTATGGTTCTTAGAGTATTCCTCGACTACGAGTCTCTCAGGAAGAGTCAGGTAGCAAATGCAGTGTTCTATCTTGTTATCAGCTTCATTCTTTGCTTATTCCATCTGTGTGATTGATGGAACATTAGGAGCTTAGTCTTTGTGGTCTTCCTCATCTGGTTAGATATTAGAATTGCTCATAAAAAGAATATGTATCTTTAATCAGAATTGAGATATAGAGGGTGGGACTCGTTTGTGCCTTGTGATTGAATTTTATATCCTTAGAAAAGGGGAATATATTTAGCTATAGGGTTCATAGCAGATGTTTACTCATTTTTCACTTTTCACCAGGCTTGTTTAGATGATTTTACTCATCACAACATTGATGTTGCTTGCAATCTTCTTGAGACATGTGGTCGTTTCCTGTATCGATCTCCTGAAACTACTATACGGATGGCTAACATGTTAGAGATATTGATGCGCCTGAAAAATGTGAAAAATCTGGATCCTCGACACAGCACTTTAGTCGAAAATGCTTACTACCTGTGCAAGCCACCCGAAAGATCAGCACGAGTCTCTAAAGTCCGTCCTCCACTACATCAGGTAGAAATCCTTTTTCAAGTTCAATTTTTCTCTGTCAATTATGATATTTGTTAACTCCTTAATCTATTTCATCTTATAGTACATTAGAAAATTGCTGTTCTCGGATCTTGATAAGTCTTCTATTGAGCATGTGCTGAGGCAACTTCGTAAATTGCCATGGAGTGAATGCGAGCAATACCTTCTAAAGTGCTTTTTGAAGGTCCACAAAGGAAAGTATGGTCAAATTCACTTGATTGCTTCTCTGACTGCTGGTTTGAGCCGCTATCATGATGAATTTGCAGTAGCTGTTGTAGATGAGGTTGGTTTCTGTTCTTCCAGATCTTTCTGCTCTTGTATACATTGATTTGATATTTAAGTCATTCCTGGATAAAAATGTAACCTCTTTTGAATAAGACCCTTGGTTTTGGTGAGTCCATAACTAATAACCACGTCCCCTTTTGTGAACTTATGAAAAGCCAATGTAAAATTATTAATGCTTGACAAACAAAGGTTTGCTTAGGATATCATGGTCCATTATATCCCACTCTCTACAAAGATGAAATACAGTTGCTTAAATAAAATATGAGATAAAGTTCCAATAAACAAAAGAAAATGATAAGCACTTGAATGTGTGGAGCGATGAGAAATCTGCAGTTTTCATGTGAATGGAACCAACTTTATTTGTGGACCCTTTTGAGAGAAAAAAAATATGTTAAAAGGCACCAAGAGGGTGCCACAACTCAACTATGTAAGGGAAGAAGAATCTTGGGTGATGGCTGGCATGATCAAATCTGAATTATTGGCATGGGAAGGTATCAACAGCAGGAAAAAAGCTATTCGCATCATAATC